TCCCCAGGACAGGGCGTGTAGGAGGCAGCCGATCAATGATTCTCTCATCATTGATGTTTCTACCTCTCTCCCTCTCCCTTCCTCTCTGAATCAGTAAGAATATATTTGAGAGAGAGAGAGAGTGAGTGAGAGAGAGAGAGAGAGGAGTATATATGTTTGTAAATAACAAAACATGTATTTGATGCTCTTAGAAAGTCTTATTTTCTTTCATTAAAACTTGTGCAGTATAGGGAACTCCATAGATTCTCTTAATTTGAAGAAAGTTAGAGGGAAAGGTAATAATTCAGAGTTCCTTGGGAAAATCTGTCACTTATATATTTTTTTGTATGTCTGTTAAACTGTATTATCACATAAGCATTGCTGCTATTGGAACAAACAGTGACAGTTGATTCAGGTCATTTGAATGTCCACTGTTTTAATTTGTATGTTCGTTTTGACTCTGTCATATGCTCAAACTTCAATGGAAGTCATGAGAACTTATTATTTTAGCCTGCTCCCTCCTTTACATTGGAAATACTCCTTTTTACTCAGAGGGACCTTAACTTTGATGTAAGGGATTGTTTCCGTTGCCAACTGTTTTCTTCCTTGCCAAGTAAGAGAGCTGTTGTGAGCTCCTCAGTGATGCCTTCCCCAGGGTATTTGCAGGTGTGGTGGGGAAAAGTCATGTCATCCCCGACCTTTGCATGTCAGGTGCTGGGGTGCCCAGGGTGCTGCCATGCCTGCTGCCCCGCCCCTCCCTTTGCGATTGCAGATCCGGGGCCGCCCCTCACTTCCCGATCTCAGATCAGGGGACCACAAGCACCTCAGCACCGGGTGCCCTGGGTGCCGCCATGCCTGTGGCCCCGCCCCTCCCTTCGCATCTCAGATCAGAGGGCCGCAGGCAGGCTGCACCCTTGGCCTGCACCCGGTGCCATGCCTGGTACCCTGCCCCTCCCTTCTCGATTGCAGATCTGGGGGCCGCAGGCATGGCTGCACCAGATGCCCAAGGTGCCGCTGTGCCTGTGGCCCCGCCCCTCCCTTCGCATGGCAGATCAGAGGGCCACGGGCATGGCTGCACCCGGTGCCCAGGGTGCTACCGTGCCTGCTGCCCCACCCCTCCTTTCGCGATTGCAGATCCAGGGCCGCAGACACAGCTGCACCCGGTCCCCCAGGTGCAGCTGTGCCTGTGGCCCCGCCCCTCCCTTCGAGATTGCATATCCGGGGGTGCAGGCCAGGTTGCCCCCTGGGCCTGCA